AAAAACATGCTCTGGTAGCATAAATGTAATGAAGTAGAGACATAAGTATTATAGAAAGGCACTATATAATCAAATAGCCTTGATCCCTATCTACAGAGTAGTAATAGGTGTTTAAAACTGTGAATGAAGGAGCCTTCTAGAGTGAGATTTTTATTAGGAAGAGTTCTCACCTGGGTATATTAGTAGCAGAACTTTCTCCTGGAAAACAGATAAAGGAACATTCATTTCAGGGGAGGAAGCTTTATCTCTTAAAGTTTTTATATGACTTAACTGTATATCATCAGCTGGTGAGATATAAGATATAAAATAGTAATCCAATTGTATTCCATCTAAATGGTTACTTATTTATTTCAACACTATTAGTTATTAATAGAACAATCCACTCTTTTTTTTCCCCACTGATTTGAAATGCAATTTCAAATGGCAAACCCTGAATACATTGATCACTGTTTCTGGATTTGTTATTCTGCTCTATTTTCTCTTTGTCTATTCATGTACCTGTACAATGCTGTTTTAATTACTATAAAATATAATATACTTTAACTGTTGATGGCTTGGATTCTACCTTACTATTCTTCTGTTTTTGATTTTACATGGCCATGCTTTATTTTTTAAATGTTTTGATATTTGTTATACCTAGTCAATAGCAGTGGTCTTGGGGTTAGGCTTGATAGTATTAGTAGCATTTATAAGGCACACTAGGCTATCTCTTGCACCATTAGCATTGCAGAGAGATGTAGAACAAGAAACACAGCATATCACCATAGATGTATTGGGTGTATCTTCAGAGGGAGTCCTCACAGTGATTCAGGAGATATTGTCTAGTCCTCCAATTAATAGCGCAGGAAACAAGGCCACATAGATGGGTATAGGGGCCATCTTGGCTTAAAAGCCTTATGCTTCTTAGAAATCAATACTTCTGTAACACCCATGAGTGTAGGAGTGTACCTTCTAGAGCTCACCACTACAAGAGACATGCTCAATTTCAAGAGTTACATTGCACTTGTGGATACCCCATTTGTGATTCCCAGCAAACATTTATAATCCTGGTCAGAGTGCTCCCAGTTTAGATGCAGTTGAGCAATCAGGAAAAACACTGCTAGTAACATAGCCCATGTTCCAACTTTATTAGGTTTTTGAGAAAACAGTGCTAGAAGATTAATCTTAGTTTCCCAAAGAGAAGGAAAAACTTTATAATTTTCTTGTTTAGTCTTCAAAAAAAGGAATGACTTCAGAATTTTCTACCAAGCCAAATTGT